GGCACACGGCGGGTGAGAACAATGGCCGGAGGTGCAGCCGCCGTAGCTTTTCCAGCGTGAGATCCAGCTGTCAGCGCAGCCTCACCTCACCTGACTTACCCCGGGGAGCTTTTCATGCTCTTTGAAACCTTGGACTGAAAGTGTCGCCGAGCTGACGACTAGCTCCACTGAAACAGCCAACACTGCCACGGGCTGAATCGTTTCACAATAATTAGCATCTGTGGATAAATGTGGGTGAGAACAGCAACGTCTACATGCACAACACCCATCAGTGGAGTCGTGGCTTTCTTCTTATTTCACTCGTTTCATTTACGTCTTTGACTTCCTGTTGCTACTGCTGTAAAAATGAATCTCAAGAAAGTAAAATAAGCCTTGTTCTTTGTCTAAAAGGAAAAATATTCTTGTCAAGCATGGTTTGCATCAGTAAAGTAATCTGGTTTTAAGAAAATATTCTATAATAAGATATTACAGCTAATATTGAGCTTCATTTAACTAGTAACAACAATGGTTGCATAAAATATCCCGCAGCCGCCAGAGGAACAAGATTATTGTCCCAACTGTATTGGAGCCAACTGCCGCACAACTTCTCAGTTTAAGAGGAAGTCGTCTGGTCCCAGTGTTGGAAATGAAGCAGCTGTTTAGTTTTTCATTATTTTAATAAAAAATGCTAAACAAATAAGTAGCTTCTGGTGCTTTCATTTAAGACAAAGTCACTTATTTTTATAATGCTGGTTGAAGATCTTAAATTGAAGTACAAATTCTTAAATTCAGCTAAATAAAGTGACCAAAATAACTCAGTTTTCATTGCTTGTAATAAGCACAACTTGCTTAAATTTGTGTCATTTCTTTGAGTTTTAGGGCCCATTACAGTCCTTCAATGACGAGATTTTAATGCTTGTTTTAAGAATTCCAGCCAAGCAGAAGTGTCTTACCCCACTGGCAGATGTGCTCAAAAGAAGAAAATGTGATTATATTTGAGAATATCTGACTTGTTTCTAGAAGTGCTGCTGTTTTTGCAGTGTGACCAGTCACCATGACAATAATAACAGTAACATGATCCCAGAGCTGTGTGGGAGGACTAATCCAATTAGCACTGCTACAGAAATAGCGGCTGACGTTTGTCAGACTGGTGAAAGGGACACTTTCTTCCAGCTATACGTTACATTAGCAGCAGATGTCAATCCACACAATGCGACACATTCCTGCTTCCGGTGTAGACAGGAAGTTTAAATACAAAACAATGGGGTCGGGGCACTTCCATGTTCCACATATGGACAACAGTGGAAGGGAATGAGTGCTCCATCCCAGCTGCAGAAACACAGCACAGCCGCTGAGCCACCGTCCAACTGAGGGCTTTTTAATGACTTATGAAGGCACAGCAGTAAAGTGTATTTACTGCATGAAACGCAGTGAGGAAAAAAACACACAACCCTCAAACAGCGAGGACCACAGAAATCTGCAAAATAGGTGAAATTCCTCTCCTGCTGCTGCCAACAGTTACTGAGCCATGAGGACAACAGACTAAAGTCTTTTCTCTTTCAACTTCGCTTTTCCTCCTGTTATCACTTTTCCCCTTTGTGTAAACAGACGTCAGCTCTTTTTTTCAGTTGTAAGCAGAGATTTTCAGACTTTAAGTTCTGGATAGAAGCAACGCTATTCAGTATTTCACAAGAAAAGACAACAAATAAAAAAATAAGAATAGAAACATAACTTGGTTGTGCAGCAGAATTGTGTTGTGGTCCTGCCGCCCAACATGTGAACCACTGCCCCACATCATGATCTAAATCTATTCAACTGGCGGTCCGCAGGCCACACCCGGTCCAGAAACAACCTCCACATGTCCCAGAATACATAAATCTGATTTATGGCAAAACAAGTTAACTACACAGTGTGTGGAAGTAGCGAGTGAGCGAGAGCTGCACAGTACCGAACGGGCAGGATGTTTATGGATGTAGCGACACCGCCAATCATATCTTTCACAAATTAACGTGTTTTAATGTGATTCCGAGCACGCTCAGGTTTTCAAACCATCTTGTGGCTGCTGACAGTCACAAGTAGGGCAGTGCTCTACTGAAAACATGTCTCTGTCAACCCGAAACTTAAAACGAACAGTAAGAACTGTCAGTTCAACCCTTCCTCGACTGAAAAAGTACTTGTTTATTTTACTGCATCTCCACCAACGCCAGACTAATGTGTTGAATTTGAAATGAGTGCGTTAAGGTAGTTAAAGAATATAATATTCAGAGGCACAACACTGAGAAACACCATCTACATTTCCTGGTTTTACAGTCTGGACCAGTTGAGTTTGTGATTGAATCGCTCTGATCTAAATGCGCCATACAACCAGGAATATACACAGTAGTATACCAAATTTTCAAAATTCCATGAAAATCCATCATGTGTAACCTCTTCTGAGGTTGTTAAGCCATCAAACCCCCAGAGATAATATGACCTGAGCGTCTTTAATGGCAGCTATACAGTACCCATTTCCACCAATGTGAGGGGAAAAAGATTCTGTAAGTCATTATAATGAGAAACCTTCTCAAAATATTGACTTCTCAAAATAAAGAGAAACTTTCTCAGTATTTTGACATAGTAACTGAAAATAATGACTTAGTAGGACAAAGTGATTATTTTGAGAAAGTTTCTCATTATAATGACTTACAGAATCTTTTTTTCCTGATTGCAGTGTGTTTTGACTTTCATAATTCCAATGTCCCTCTCTGCTATTTCTTTTTTATTTTCAGTTTTCAGAATCACAAAAAGGAGTAATATTTATAGGTTGTGGGAGATATGAGGAGAACTCTAGCAGCAATGAAATGAAACAGACCAGCTAAACATATAAAAGCAGTTGACACCTTTTCCTTTCCATCGGAGTGAAACAAGGTCACCTGAGGCAGTCACAACACAGACGGAGAGCCCGTCTGAGCTCAGCTAAAAATAAAATTCACTGAGGACATGATGATTCTTTCACAGAACGAGACGTGTGCTCCGTTTGTGTTTTTCATCCCCACCTTCTCCTGCCAGGATTAGATTACGGGGGACATTTCAAAAAAGGACGCTGTGCAGACAGGAAACGACCAACTGATGAATTCAGAACAAACGCGCCCTGCCTGAAATAAACGCCCGTCAGGAAGCGGGTCAGAGACGTGGGCCGGTCATTCACATGCTTAATGAGATCACACAGCAGATTGTGGTCTTCTGTTATCTCCGTCTTTGCTTTAAATCCTGCAGAGATGTTGATAAGTGAGAGAGTTTCCCAGTAAACCGACGAATGGTGATGGGCAGATACAGAAAACAAAAGGTCAGCTTGGAGAAGATGCAGCGTGAAAGCTTGGAGAGTAACCCGGTTATCATCCGGCTGACCCAGCGGAGTCAAAGATAAAAGGGTTTCCAAGACTTCCAAAATATATGCTAATTACTTTCTGTGAGTGACTTTCATGTTTTGGGCTTTTTTTTATTCTAGGCTGATTCTCAGCAGGGGTTTCCTTCCTCTTAATGCCAGAGAGGCCACAAGGGAGGAGTAAGACAGAGAGAGTGTGGCTTTATATTTCTATATTTATATGTGGTCCAGCAGTTGATTCTAAATGGGCTGTGGATGTAGAAGCAATGCAGCAAGTCAGATTGTGTGTATATGAAATAACTGCTGTTCTAACTGCTATCATTGATGTGGTTAAAGATGCAGCTTAAACTGACCAAAGCGTCTAGGATTTAGTGGTATAGTTGCAGGTTGCAACTCCTTCGCTTCACCCTCCCCTTCCACGGAAGAAGACCCGCAGTGTCTGTAGATATAAACAGCTCATTCTAAGGTAACGAAAACAGAAAAAAAATCTAATTTTCAGGTGATTTTACACCAATGAAACCATATTAATGAATATTATATTACATTTCTGCCAAGATATCCTCCTAAATGTTACACTGGACCTTTAACATATACAGAAAAAAGGCAAAAACAAAGAGAAAACATACCAACAACAACAGTAAATGACAAGTTATTAGGAGTTAAGAAAGGCCAAAGAATAGAAATGTGCCTTCAGCCTAGATTTGAGACAGAAGAGGGCACATTTATCATCTAACAGTGACTGCAAAGGCTCTGTCCCCTTTTAATATAGACCGCGGGACATGCAAGAGACCTAGAAGCTGAGGGAATAAGCTTTGTGATATAGGATGGGGCCTCAGAGTCTCTCATTAGCTTAGATTACCAGGACATTTATTTTATGTGCACAGCTGCAGTGCAGATTTATAATGGATTCTGTATACCTGTAGAATTTAGGTTTGCCCTGAATTGGAAAATTAAGACAGATTTGTGAACAAGCCTGACTTAAACAAGTCAGCAGCGAGTCTTGAGCAGTGGCTGGGTCCTAAAAACAACAAGTTCAAGTCCCAGCTCAGACTTCAGGGTTCACATTCAACCAGATCATGAATGGAAAAACTCTCTACTATTATACCAAATTACCTATCTACCAAATTGCAAGAAGAAACAACCAACTGTGTTTCCTTTATGCTCTTAATTTGAGCAAAAACAGTCTCCCCTCAGCTCCTTTTATCTGTGAAGCGCCACCTCCTGGTCAATTTTCTTTTACTTCCCGCGCACTCCTCATTGTTTTCCTTTCAGGCTGATCTACTTGGACAATGTGCTGCCACATTCTCCTCAGTGGAACCCGGTGTGCAGAGTCGATGGAAAACAACACGTGGGCACACAACGTATCTGTTGTATGAGAGTTTGTAGTGAAGTAATCAACCAACCTCATTTTATTCGCCAGCTTAGATTTTCTCACACATTTGGTGAGTGGCGGCTGCTTATTGGCTACTGAGCTACGACTGGCAGTCCTACAGCGACATCAGAGCTACAAACTTTCAAGCTTCAAGCATGTCAGCTGTAACAGGTAGTCTGGCTGTGTGGTACAGGTTTAAATACACTTAAATACTTGAAATGTAATTGTTCGATTCAAATAGAGGTTTTAAAATGTGTGTGTGTGTGTGTGTGTGTGACGTCTTACCGTTAACGCAGATCTCATACGGGGAACACAGCTCGCTCTCAAACAGGCAACCTGTTTGCAGAGAGACACAAAGGCAACACACGGGGTTAGCAGGTTGACAGGTAACTAAACAGACCTGAAATAAATAATATCCATAAACAGATACAGCAGCAGCAGAAACAGAGAGAGATCAATATAACTGATCAGTCTGATGAGGTTGACTGTTCAGTTTTTATTTTCTACCGAAGCAATCGCCTCCATGAACACGGTTCAACGTCATTTCAATGGTTTGAGCAACTCAAACTAAATTAGATTCACCTCCGTTATGTCTGGTTGGAGGCAGAAATCTCAACTATCTGTCTGATAAAACACCTTCAGAGGCTTTAAATTTATTAACTCCAGCAATTAAAAATACTTGATTTGAGTACAAGTAACTAATTAATTGTTAAGGTAATTGTACTTAAAACTAGTAAGTATATTACACTCATAAGCAGCATTTCTCTAAACTCTCCAAAATGTGGTCACAGAATTTATCGGAATAAACTTAAATGCATCTTCTTTATACAAATGTTACCACTTCAATTGAATTTACTAAATTTTTTTCCACTATATTACATTACCTGTCACCGACATACGAAATAAACAATTTACAATAAATTGATTATCAAAACAGTAGCCAGTTAATTCTGGGGCTTACATTTTTGTAATGATATAAAGTCAAAATGAGTCAAGAGAACAAAATGGAATTAAATGACCAATACTTAAAAATACTGCACACATTTAAGTTAACTCAAAACAAGTTATTACTTAAACAATTCATGTTTTGAGTTGGGTTAATTCAGGGGAATGAGTCCAAATATTCTGGACGTTATGTTAGCTTACTTCTTTTATTATTTGATTTACAGTGTTAAAGAAATACAGTATGTTTTTAGTCCAACAGTGTTGGCCCTTCTATTTTAAGACTGGAACATGAGACTAAATGGCTTAATAAGACCCGAACTCTTGTGTTTTGGGCTGTAGAGTAAAGTAACTCTGAGCTGAGGGAGGATGCATCAAACTGGCTCCTTCAGTGCTCCTCTGGGAGGCAGCCATATTTTATTCTATTCCACTTACAGGAGAGCTGGCAGCATATAACACTAGTTCACTCTCTGTCTGTGACTCTCATACAAACACACAGTTCTACATATTAAACACATTTCTGAACCTGCTGTAGATCTAAGGAGGGGTTATTAGTTTGTCCTTCTGTTTGGGGGTTTAGGGGTGTATTAAGGGTATCCAACAGTGCAACATACTGTTGTGTTCCTTTCATATAAACACAAACAGGATTTACAGTATCATAGTTTATCCCATTTGATTGGGCAGCAGCTGTTTCTCCGCACAGGGCTGGATCAGGACCAAGCAGAGCGTCACTTTCAGGGTTTTTAATCAGTGTTCTCTGTCTGTCACTTGGATTCAGGTTGTTACCAGCAGCTCTTAAAACGTTTGGAGACTTAAGGTCAGTTCTGTAAACCTGTATTAGATGGAAAGGTCGCTGAAGTTAGCCAATAAACACTGGTATCCCACTCCTCCTCCTCCTCCTCCTCCTCCTCCTCCTCTACCATCTACCATTACTAGTAATCCTACCACTACTAGAATAAAAAATACTTTATTGATCCCTTCGTGGCTTTGTTGCAGCTGCTCAATAAGATAAGAATTTACATTATACAAATTGGAGAAAGGTATAGATTTGTGCATTAAATTACAATATATAACAACAATATGTATAGGAAATTATGAAATAGAAAATAAGTGTGTAAAATATGTACATTATATTACAGCATTTAACAAAATATAGAAAATAAGACATTCAAAATATATATAATACAGTATATAACAGAATACTACTAATGCTAATCTACTAATCTACTTCTACTGACACTACCACATCATTCTGATACTGCCTGTGCTACTACTACTGCTATTAAGAACTACAACGACAACCTCCCATCAACAATTTACTTCATATAGTGCAATATACTAATATCTCTACTACTCTAGGAATACTAAAGGTACTTCCACCACTAATATTACTACAAGGATTGTGTTTTCTACTCCTTCTGGAATAAATAAATACTCAGTTTAAATGTTGCATTATATCTAAACCTGCACTATTAGCAATACATTTGCATCCATAATCACTCAGGTGGGTGTAAACACACACACACACACACACACACACACACACATACATTAGGGGAAATACTCCAGGGACCTAGACGGGACTAACAGGCAGGCGCCAGAGCAGCGGCATCCGATTGGATGCTGTAACCATGGCAACAGTGCCTTCCGGGATCAAAGAGCGCAGCGATACCCCCCCCCGTCTCGCCTTTTACCCTCCACATTTACACTGCGAGCTCCTGTTCTCATTTTGTGCTAACATGTTGTTTTTTTTCTCTCCTTATATGTCCAGGGAAGGGTTTGCGATTCACAGGGAGGTCCTTGAATGCACCTCGCCTGTTGTCTTACTTAGGTTAGAGATTGAAGAGAAGTTGGCTTTTCAGACTTTTTCTTTTCTTTCAAAGGAAGGTTAATGATGCTCATTTAATCAACATAACATCTCAATTGTATATTTTATAGGTTTTGAATATATTTCCCTATATCCGCTCCTGACAACAAGACCTGAGGCATGAATAATGTTTTTTAGCCACTCAAAGGAAAGATTGGGTTACAGTGATGGATAGTGTTTACAGATCAGAAAAAAGACGACATTTATAACAGTTAGACCAACGTTGTTGTAAAAAGGAAGGACAGTAACAAGGACACTGGATCACGAGTATAGACCAAAGACCCGTTAACTCTGAAACAGCAAACAGTCACAAAACATAATCAAAAGCCTGAATTAAAAAATGACCATTACAGATAATGAACCAACGAGGGAGCAGATAAAAAGGTTACCGATCTCACAAAATGGAGGACGAAACAAACTGTAACTGCCATTGAGCTAGCAGGGGTTGCTACTAGCAACAGAAAGTTCAACTGACACCAACTGCTGCTGCAGGATATCAACAATAAAGCACAAGGTTTCAACCAAAACTGCAATATTTTCTGAACTTTAACTTTTAGTCGCTTAGCTGTAACTGACAACTGATGCTGGCAGATTATAAAGTGCAGCAAGCTATCTGATGAACATGAAGTTGTTTGCAGATGACCAGTTTTAAAACAACAAAACATGTACAAGTATCTTAAATATCCACATGATAGTTACATACATGATATAATGCTAAAGCACTGAGGCTAAAGTTACACGTGTAGTAAGTAAAGTATCCTCAGCAGACGATGTTTCTCGTAGGAGCAGCACTGATCTTGTATTGCAGTAGCTTCATATTTATAAATGTAATTAAAATGTTATTTGCTCTTGTTTGGACGCCTAATTATTAGTTGGAAAAGCAACATCTAGAACATTTTCACATAGCAGGAAAAGCTCAGGTGTTACTAATGACATTAAGGATGTTTCCTGCAGTTTGGTGGACTCAGTCTTCCTACTACTTCACTTTTTGTGTTTAATAACCACAGAAATCCCTTTTTACATTCTCATATTTGCTGTTATTTTGTGCCACCAACAATAAAAATTGCCAAACAAATCAAAATAAAACAGGAAACGCTCAAAAGTTTGCATAAATCACCCGAAAAAACACGCTTGTTGTGACTCCTGCCTCCGCCCAGAATCAACAGCAGCCACTTGATCTGCACACGCTTTCACGCTTTGAGCAACCTCTTTTCTTTTTTCTTTACCCAGGATGCACTTCGTCTCTCATGAAGACATATCCGAGTGAAGTCATTTGCTATAAGCTTGTGTCATGTTTGCTGGATATTCATTATGTTTCTGTTTTTGGTATAATTAAAGGGAGAATCACCCGAGGCTGTTTTTGTTTACATCTGTGCGGGGAAAAGAAGACGCAGTAATCACAGCAGTTTCCAGCCGGCGCCGTTTGTTAAAAGCAGGAACATGTAACACAGAAACGCTGTTTACAAAGAGTCGGAGCTTCATTACAGCAGCTCTGGGGCGTTCGTGCAGCGGCTGGGCCAATTTCTCCACAATAGCATAATCAGAACAAACATATAAAAGCAAGAACAGAGGCTTACGACTGAAAGGAAATCATAACATTCAAAAACTAAATGTTCCCTCACATTCAATATCTAATACATTAAAACACAGGAAAGCTCATAATTACAAAGCAGCAGGTCACTTCGATTAGATTTATTATTTTTTATGCACCAATCATTTTGTCCCTGTGTGAAATACTGATTATCTAATTTAATGTTTTAATCTTATTTCATGTTTTATAGATTTTATTTTATTATTAATTGCAGGTCTACTTCTATCATTTGCTTTTTAGTTGCTCAAGTTGACATTATAAGAAAGAGAACTAAGAATAAGTATAAATTTGTGCATTAAATTACAATATATAACAAAAATATGTATATGGAATTATAAAATAGAAAATAAAAGTGTGTAATTTATGTAAAATATGTACATTATATTACACTACTTCTATCATTTGTTTTTTAGCACCACTTTTTTGTGCACCAAGCCCAAAATTGACATACCTAAAATTAAAAGTGTTATTGTTCTTTAACTTTTATGTTCTCAGTCTCTTCTCAAAGGCAACTCTTTTTACATTTACTATCAATTATTAAAAACCAAACTTACAGAGGCACAAGCTTGTTATAAGGATGATAATGTATTACATATTATAAACTATACATTAGTAAAGTTATAGGAGCCTAAGTGGAGTCAAAGTTCCTTAATAAAACTTTACTGTGAGCCCAAACTGATGAAGAGTGGAGTTAAGGAAGATAAATAAAGAGGTAAAAAGTGTGTTTTTCCCCATTTCACTTCCTGATAAGAGCCAGTTAGAAGTGGAGGATATGGAAGATGACTCTTGAGTGCTACTTTTGGACTTTTGCTGCCACCCTGAGTTTTTGCTGTCTGGTTTCTTCACTCCACACCAGCAGAGTGTGAAATAGGTTGCAGTGTTGCACTGTGGACCGACGCCAAGCCGCCAGTGCGGGAGGAAGGGAATTTCA